GTGGATTTTTGTTCCACCATTGCTAGGGCATAGCCCAGGATGGGTAATGAAGCTCCAGACATTATGTCCAAATTCTGGCCAGCAAGAAAGAGGGAGGAGCATGAGAAAGGCATGCCGCCGCCTTTTAAGGATACTTTTCAGAAGCTTCGCTCACCACTGCAAGGAAAGCTAGGAAATGTAATCATATTCTGGGTGGCTAGGTGAAAACTGGAGGTTTCATTTGGAAAAAGAAGAACAGACACTAGAAGATAATAATCTCTGATAACTTCTATTAATAATACATGTAAATGATTTTTTTTTTTTTTGAAATAGAACTTTAATCTCCTTGAGCCAGATTTTTGGAATGTCTCAGTTTGCAAATCCAGTATTCACAGAATAGCTAATTAAGTGTAGATCAAGTAATTAGCTTTATTAACAGCTGGGCAAGCACCAAATAACTCCCCAGGCACATGGCTATCTGTTAAGAACTGGATTGGAGATAATTCAGCTTGAACCTGTGGCTCCTACTCCTGTACCACATCTCAACCTTGGGACCCACTTTTGCCTGCACAGAAGACTTAAAGTTCACTTGCAATGTTTAGCATGGGCTTCAAGCATTTCTCAAACATCTGGTTGCCAGTGGAATATGGAGAGAAGAGGGTGGGCTTCCTTCCCAAGAATTGAAGCCCTGCCTGGTCTCTTGACATTATAGAGAAAAGAAGCCTGAGATATGAGTAGACAGGTCAGAGAATAAAGGGAGAGCCTGCTATCCTCTTTTGCCTAATAAATGTAGAACTCTTGCTTTGATTTATTTACCCCTCCATGTTGGGAAAGTCAGTAGAGGAATGGAGAGTGAGAGAGGAAATATTTGTTCTGGAGCTCCCAAAGAGGGTGGGTTTTGGGGGTAGGAATCTCCTCTTCTGTTGGCTGAAGTGAAGAATGTAGTGAGAGAAGAAAGAGTTTTTTCTAACCAAAATAATTATTAAAAAAGTGGAATCTAAAACATTTTTTAAAAAAGAGAGTGATGATGAATGTCCTGAGTTGTATAATTAATTGCCTCAAATATGCTTTGAGTAATAGAAATATGGCCTTATTCAAGCACATATTATATTCTTATGAAGCCTCAGCACAAAGAAAATAAGAAATGAAGAAAAACAAAATGACAGGTGTTTTCAAATATGCAATAGGATGCTTTAGGGAACTGGAGGAGAAAGGAAAGGAGAAAGTCACCTAAGGATAGCAGTAGAGAAAGCTGAAAGGACAAGTGTCTGGAAAAGGGCTGAGGTTAGGGCAGCACTGAGTGGGGGAGCACAGCAGTGTTGTCTTCTACAGAGACTTGTCATAGGGCCGTGTTCATCAGCCTTCTGGCACACTCACAAGTAATGGAAAAGAGGTTCACAAAAAGCTGTTTGTAATCGTGGGCACAGTTAGAAAAAAAACAAGGGATGATGAAGTGCTCAGGAGCCAGCAACAGTGGGGACACCTACAGGGATAATGGTAGAGAGTGGTCACTGGAATCTGGCAAGAGCTGTAGCTGTGGGTGAGGACTTAGGTGAAGAAACACTGAGTCAGTGGAGGAAGAAGCTGGGGGATAAATACTCTTCTTTCTGTTTCCCCTCACTCTTCCGTATTCTGCTGGTGCCTTCAGGCCAAACTCAACTAGAAGCCAGAGGCAAGGAAGCCCAGGCAATATCGTCATAGAGAACAGCCTCCTAGGCACTTTGGCAGGATGGGGAAGGGTCAGGAGGGTCAAATGGAGAATTGCCTGCATAATATTTTGGTTGAATGCAGAGGAGGAGGTGGTGGGAAAGAAGCTGTAAAATTTCCTGCTGCAGTTTAATCAGTTTCCCTCAAACATTCATTGAGCACTTGCTCTGCCTAGTGTTGGGGATACCAAATGAACAAACAGAGACCTTGCTTGGTCTTGAGAGGCTCATAAGCCAGCAGAGTCATGATTCTAATGTCAGATGGTGGAAGCTTTGGAAGACAGGAATAGCAAAAGACAGCCCTGCCTGATGGAGTTAGTGAAAGTGTCCCCAGAAGGAGGTGACTTTTGAGTTGGATATTGAATTTGTGTAGAAGATCATTAGAGGAGAGCATTAAGACTTCCTGGTCTGGGGAAAGGTACAGATGCTGTGAGAATATGGAGAGAAGGTACAGATCAGGGGAGGAAGATGAGACAGAATCTGATGGTCTTTGTGAACCAGACTGAAGAGCTTGGATTTTATCCTTTACATTGGCAATAGGAGTTAACAGAGGCTTATAAAAAATACTGCTTTTTTTTTTAAAGGATGGGGGAACTGATGATGGGTGCTTTTCCTAGCAATTTCTTTTCTTAGTATGCTTTTCTTCTTTTTCCTCTGATTTTTTCCTCCACTTCTCTTTACCATTCACCACCTTTTTATCATTGTTGTGTTTCTGGTAGATGAAACCTCCAAGGTTAAGGGGCTAGTTAGGGTGGATCTGATCTAGGGAAGAGAAAAAGAAGCATTCCATGTCTTTAAATAATTTCTACTTCAGTTGCCAGAAGGGGTTTAATTTGTGAATGGTAGAAATACTGGTGATGCTGGCACAGAAATTAAAATGCCTAATGAGCCAGTACTTAGTGGTCTACCACAACAAAATAAAAATGAGATGTGACTTCATGCAAACTTGTCTTGAAATACTATTCATATACCCTGATGTGCATTATTGTAGACTGAAAAAATAAAAATACAAACACACATGCTCACATTACTTTCCTACACATTAATCTGCAAAGAGAAAACTCTTCAAGACTTTGAGGAGAAAATCCATTACTGAATTAATAAAACAACCATCTTCTATCTGCACTTTTATATACCCTTTACACCTGTTTAATTAATCCTAAACATGAGGCTGACTGCTAATTAAACAGCCTGGAAGTGACTGACTGAAGGTAGTAATTTGAGATAATTAGTTTTGGTTTCAAACACTCAATTTTCACACTTTCTGCTCATATTTAGAAAGGGTGGCTTATTATAGGCAGGTTGGGAATTGTGTAAGTCATTTTATGGCTAGACTGTTAGTACCTTAGGAAGTGGGAGAATTATGTATCCAAATAGGACAAGGAAATGTTATAGAGCTATAGAATTTGCTATAGAATGCTCTCCTATTTCCTCCACACATCCCATACTTGCACATACACAGAATTTCTTCTAAAGTTAAGGTCAGATGGCTAACTTTATTTCGTTAGACCGTAGAAATACACATGATTTTGATGTTTGGGAAATTTTTACCTGGTAAGAAGGAGATATCACTGAGTTATCCATGGTTCCTTCCCAGGCCCTCTGAAAACAAACAAGAAAAGGCAAAAAAGGCCAAGGTTTGGTGTGTGGTTTGAGATTTAGAGGGGTGTTCTTGCGAGTAGTCATGTACTATGGAGGCACAAAATCTAACCAGGGGAAAAATTTGTCAAGGTAAGGCCAGCATATCTGACAGAGAAGGCAAAGGGCAGGATGAGGAGGGTCAGGTCATCTTTGTCCCACCTGGTCCCACAGTTTTAACAAGTAAGTTAACATGGTCCCCACTAGGAGAACAGAACCAGGAAGAATTTGGGGTTAAATGGGCCAGACTATTCTGGGTACTCATTGTTATGGACAACGTAGGTGGATCCAAGTTACGAGGAAGCTGAACGAATTTTCAGCACCCCGGACAGCTCCAAAGCACATTGCTCTGCTGCTGCTCCTGGGGCGACTTTTACATTTTAGGAACTTTGTTGTCATTTCACTGGCCACCAGTATGGAGTAGGACTCTCTAGACTTAGGAAGAAGATTATCTAGATGTTGAGGGCTTTACAAGTAGAGAACATGTGGACTCAGGGAGAGGAGCGTCATACACTGGGGGCAGTTGGGGGAGGTAGAGGAGAGACAGTGGGGTATGGGGAGGGTGGGGAAGGATAACATGGGGAGAAATGCCAGATATAGTATGCACCAAAGGTAAAATAAATAAATTAAAAAAAAAGAGTGGAGTTGAAACGTTTACACAGATTGGGATTCATCTGTCTGGACGGTGGTGGGGACTGTTGGATCCCAGAGTGCACAGCCCTGTATGGAAAGATGGAACTGCAACCTCTAACATCTTTGAGCACTGACATTAGCTGCAGCTTGTGATGTAGCACAGAGTTAATTTTTTTATATACGAGTCAGACCTGCATTTTCAACTAAGCCACCTGAATTAGGGCATCTTGGAGTCATTTTGATCTCTGAACTTTCACTCATACCACAGCATGGCATCAGAGGAGTTACTAGGCACAACCACATAACTCACTTTCCCACATTATTGAGAAATGACATAGGATTCCTCATTTTGAAAAATTTCTAGCAATTCACATTAAAAGAAAAATAGTCTCTTCTTTTAAAGAATTTATGGTTTGGATTCCTTTTTCTGTGATGTTTTGGGGAAGTTAAAAAGATGTTTCTATGAGAGGATATGTGACTGGCAATTGTCAAATCCTTTTGTAGCACACTGATTATATCAATAAACAGTAGATAGACTTGCAAAACTATATATTTAAAATACTTTACTGAACATGTAGTCTCAAGACTGAAATGGCATTAAGTGTACAAACCAATCTCATTAAATTCCTTGTTAGTCTTTGTATATCATTAGTGTCCTATGAAGCTAAAGCCAGTTTCAGAGGTGACCTTTTCTGATGCGTATGCCTTCATTTTTCTCTCCTTTTTGCACCAGAGCTTATCATGTACAGACTGAAAAAGCAACATCAACAAAAAGCACAAATGTTTTGCTTTGGCTCCAGAAAACAATGGAAACTAAAGCAAAACGAAATTCTTTCTGTTCAGACATATTGTGTATTGAGAGAAAGTGAACCTATGGACCATTAAAAATACTTTCTAATTAAATTGGCAGTCATAAAACTGTATGTTGGCTTCAGGCTGGTATGTCTATGTTTCTGGTATAGTCTTGGCTTTTTAGCTCTTATGACAATCCATCATTCTTGAAGATACTTCATGGGTTGAAATGACCCACCATTTGTTTTGCAGATACCTCAAATCAGCTATGCATCCACAGCCCCAGAGCTAAGTGATAACACCAGGTATGACTTTTTCTCTCGAGTGGTCCCACCTGACTCCTACCAAGCGCAAGCCATGGTGGACATCGTGACGGCACTGGGATGGAATTATGTGTCAACACTGGCTTCTGAGGGTAACTATGGCGAGAGCGGTGTGGAGGCCTTCACTCAGATCTCGAGGGAGATTGGTAAGCATATATTTATCAGATGAATGTATTTGGAGGCGACAGGTTGCTGATGCCCGAGCTTCTCCAAGTGCTCTTTTATCTGTAGGGAATAATTAGAACTCCTACAGATGCATGAACTAGGCTGTCCACTCTAGAGGGAAGCTGGGTTTATTATAAATGATTTTGTTGTTCATAGGTCTATCAAGGTGACACTTTGGTGCTAATTTAGGAAGTAGGGCTCCTGACTCAAGTGAACATTTTTTTAAAGTTGTCTGTTTTGACAAGGGAGTTTGCTGGCACATTAGAGCCACTGTAAATTTGAATAAATGACATACTATTTGATTGTTCTAGATGGAAGTTTACATTAGCAAGTCATTAAATTGAAAAAAGTCAGTGGAATTTAGCATCCAACACTAGAGGGATTAAGTCTAGTTATCATCTTAAAACAATGCTGAAGTAGCCCCAAGGCTATACTTAAGCAATATTCTTATTGTCATATTTGACTTTTTGCATTTTTACTCTCAACTGAAGCTCTGAAGCTTAGGATGTAATGAAGGGCAAGATGTAAAACTTGTTTACAAGGTACTGCTGACCTCCGTCCTGGGCATTTTTTTCAAGGTGCTTATTCAAGTCTCTAGGCATTTCACCATCTTGTATGTGTACCAATGAGGTTGTAAATCCATTTCACTGCTTTGAAAACACAGAGCAAAACAAAGAAACAAGTTAGAGCACAAATCTTAACTGCTGATCTATCAACAATGTGTCTTTGTGAATGAAATGAGATATGTTATTGTTAAGTACTATTATTAAAAATGAATGAATTTTTCTATAAGAGTAATATTTTGTGGAAAGGTTAAATGTCCATTGATTGTTTTTCAGTAATTTTGAGCCCGAAGGAAGACATTATATTGATAAATTTATTGTTTTTCTTGGAGGCCTTGACTCAGGAAAAGATCATGGGAGTGATTTGGGCTTATCAAGGACAAAAAGTCTAATGTTATTGAAATAGGATTTTCACTTGAGAGACTTGCAGATGGCTACAAGTTTTTCTGTGTGTTGTAGGGCATAGAAAATTATATTACACAATATTTAATATAGTTCACATTTGTTCTACATTTGTGCTATTCTGGAAAATGTATAAAAAGCCTGGTCATTTTGGGCAGATTGGGTTAATTGACTAAATTGGACAACTATTCACACCTGCTGTAAGTGTGCATGATGCCATAATCTTTGCTCTCTGGAAATTTATACCATTACTGCTATAAAATTGATTTAAAACATTCAATTGATCTTTAAATTATGACAAATTATATTATCTTCTTGGATAAAAATCTAAAGTTTATCCTTAGAGGAAAGGCCCACTCAAATGAAAACAATCACTTCTGAAAACAGGGTTAATGTATTATTTAAGCAACTGATGTCAGTTCTTACCAGAGTGAAAATTCTATAAGAGAAGGAAACAAATAGAGTATGTATTTAAATAAGTTTTCTGCAGTTCTCCTGGACATTCTGCAACTCCAGAACACATTTTGTGTGCATGAGATAGATTCCTATAAAAAATTCAAAACAGGACGTAATCTGCCAATTGTTGCAGAATCTGACAAAATACATTGTTCTAAAAGTTAAGTGAAACCAGTTTTATTCTTTTGACTAAAATACTTAGTTTTTATTTTTTAGGGAGCATTGCTATGCTTTGGTAATACTGTTACATAAAAGGATTTAGATGGTGCCATTCATTATTCCTGTTTCTATCATAGTCATTAGCATGGGAGAAAATAATTTTAGTGCCATGTATATGCTCTTGATTAGAGCAACACATTTCTTCTATGTTGATCTTTTCAGTATTCTGTGACTTGATTGGTTGTCCATTCTATTTCAGTTCTCACTTATCTGGGGAATGGAGGAGGGATGGATTGTCAATTAATATGCAGAATACTGAAAAGGCCAAATTAGTACCACACTGGAGTATGCCATGGAATATATTAAATATCAAAATCATCCCTCATTTTAATGACAAAGATTTTATCTAGAACAAAAATAGCTGAAAATTAAACCTTTTACATGACAATGATATTAATGGCAAAGGCAAATGGTAGCAACTTAACCCATTCTGAAATTATCTGGTGTCCCTAATGAAAATTCATTAGTTCTGTAATATTTGCAGCTCTTACTACAACATTGATGACATCTCTGTCACCATGTTAGTAGTGTGTTTTTTAAAGCTCAGTAGCTTGACTGAGAAGGCGACGATAAATTCATTTTTTGGAGTATCTGCCCATTAATAAAATTGTATATTTCCCCAACTCATAATGTTTTCTGTACTTTGTTCTGAATTTCTCTTCAGCAACATCGATTGCTAAGAAATTTCAGTGTAAATTGAGGCTTCCTCTGTCTTACCTCTGATTAACCTGGGCAGATCATAATGGAATGATGGTGAAATGAAAATCGGTTTAGTGATGAATTGCTTATACACTTTGATTAGAAGGTTTTTCATTTTAACAAAATCAGACTTGGGGAAGTGTCCTTTGTGAATCTGGGAGAATGAAACTTACGAGTGTATGGTGGTTATGATGAGACTTCAGTGATGGCTCTTCCCTAGCTGAGATCTTTCTGAAGGGGAGAGGGATAAGAGACACTTGATAAAGACAAATAGCCCCTTGATATCACAGCTGTTATAGTGTCAGCCCGGAGCATCTCTTGATTATAGAGTTATTGCTGAGAAGGAAAAAAATATAGATGGCATCATCAAATAGCACTGTTTGACTGGAGCATAGTTTGTATAGTGATGTATGGGAGACAAAATTGGAAGGCTTGACATAGACACATGATTATTTCAAATCATAGGGTGTTTATTTTATCCTTAATTTTCTAGACATTGGAGGTGTGTTATGCTATTCCTGCATTGCTATAAAGAAATCCCTGAAAGTGGATAATTTATGAGAAAAGAGGTTTAATTGGTTCAGGGTTCTGCAGACTGTACAGGAAGCATAGTGGCATCTGCTTCTGGGGAGGCCTGAGGAGGCTTACAATCATGGCAGAAGGTGAAGCAGAAGCAAGGGGAGGTGCAACACACTTTTAAACCACCACATTTGTTGAAACATCATTATCTCAGACAGCACAAAGCAGTGAGGGGTCTGTCCCCATGACCCAAACACCTTCCACCAGGCCCTGCCTCCATCATTGGGGATTACATTTCAACATGAGATTTGGGTGGGGATAAATATCCAAACTATGTCTTTCCGCCCTGGCTCCTCTCAAATCTCATGTCCTTTTCCCATTGCAAAATGCAATTATGCCTTCCCAATAGTCTCCCCAAATGTTAACTCATTCTAGCATTAACTGGAAAGTCCAAGCTGGGTCCAGTGGCTCATGACCATAATCCTAGCACTTCGGGTTGCCAAGGCAGGGCAGATCACCTGAGGTCAGGAGTTCGTGACCAGCCTGGCTTACATGGTGAAACCTTGTCTCTACTAAAAATACAAAAATTAGTCGAGCATGGTGGCATGTGCCTATAGTCCCAGCTACTTGGAAGGCTGAGGCAGGAGAATTGCTTGAACCTGGGAGGTAGAGATGGCAGTGAGCTGAGATCATGCCATTGCACTCCAACCTGGGCAACAGACGGAGACTTCATTTCAAAAAAAAAAAAAAAAAAAGTCCAAATCCAAAGTTCCATCTGAGACAAAATTCCTTTCAGCGATGAGCCTGTAAAATCAAAAACAAGTTATTTACTCCTGGGATACAGTGTAGTAGAGGCATTGGATAAATATTTCTGTTCCAAAAGGAAGGGGCTGCAGGCCACATGCAGGTTCAAAACACAGCAGGGAAGTCATTACATCTGAAAGCTCCAAAATGGTTTCCTTTGACTTCATATCCCACATCCAGGGCACACTGTTGTGAGGGGTGGCTTCCCAAGGCCTTAGGCAGCTCCACCCCTGTGGTTTTTCAGTATGGAACGGTGGTTGCTAAGGTGAGAAGTAAAGGGGAATGAGGATGGACTCATGGGGAGAAGTTTTTATATAAAAGTGTGCAATATGGCTTGGCTGTGTCCCCACTCAAATCTCACCTTGAATTATTATAATCCCCATGTGTCAAGGGTGGGGCACTTTGCTCCTCATTTGCTTCCACTATGATTGTGAGCCCACCCCACCCACCCAGCCATGTGGAACTGTGAGTCAGTTAAACCTCCTTCCTTTATAAATTACTCAGTCTTGGTTATGTCTTTGTTAGCATCATGAGAACAGACTAATACAGTGTGGGAATAAATGTCCAGACATTCTAATGGGGAGCTAACAGTATGATAGAGTGTTCTCTTTTGATGGGTTTGTGGTCATGGGAGGGCTCTCATACTCCTTTGAAGAAGACATGCATTATGGGAGATGTTACAAGCAGCTCCTCAGAAAAAGTTTAAGGATGTTGAGCAGTGTTTCATAAGAAAGCAGGAACTTTTGCCAGAATGCATACCTAAACATGCACATTAGGGTTAGGGTTCCTACATGAAGCGAGGTCCTTAAGAGGATCTCACTTAGTATTTTAGTTTCATAGTAAAGTGTAGCAACCTAGGTGGCTTAAAACGATAGAAATTTATTGTCTCACAGTTCTGGAGGCTAGAAATAAAAACTCAGGGTGTCATTAGGGCCATATTGCTTCTGAAACTTGTAGGAGAGAATCCCTCCTTGTGTTTTTTAGCCTCTGGTGTTGGCTGACAATCCCTGGTATTCCTTGGCTTGTAGATGCATCACTCCAGTCTCTGCTTCTACTATCACATGGCCATCTTCTTCCTTCTTGTGTTTGTCTACGTCTTCTCTTCTTATAAAGCTGCAGACATATTAGAATAAAGGCCCACGCTATTCCAGTATGACCTCATCTTAACTAACTACATTTGCAATGACCCTATTTCCAAATAAGATCACATTGTGAGGTACTGGGGTTAGGATTTCAATGTATTTTTCTTGGGAGATAATTCAATCCTTAACAGAGGGTGAGAGAGGGTATACTCAGAAGGTTAGTTTCCAGTGATAGGG